TCATCATGTTTTACTAAACTGATCGAATGATTGACTGGCCTGGATGCTTTCCGGCTTTCCAGTTGAGCTTTTGGTGGAGCAGTAGGTTCCGGGCTTTCAGAAGTTGATTTGAGGCATCTGACCATCCTGATAGTTGCCCGTTGGGGAACATCGGTGAGGACACGGATCATGTTGCTGACTTCTGTGGCACCATTGATGGACTTGAAAGATGAAAAAACTGAGCTGAACTTCGAGGAGGCCTTCGAAACCGAAACACGCATGTTTTAAGAAGCTTTGTTGGCTGAGAATGATAAAGATGTGCAGCAAGCAAGAAACACTGGGCCTGAGCTTTCTTTCAATAGGTGTAATTTTTCCACAATTTTCCCACATGCAACAGTGAGCCGGCGAATTTGATCAAAGTGGCATTCCATATGATCATTTCGAATACACACTACTTGATCATACCAATGAATAGAATAGAATGGTAGAATGGAATTAGTAAATCATATTTCCTAGCATTTCGGGGACTTCCGTAAAGAGTCTGATTGGCGTAAAACCGAATGTCGTTGCCAAGACGCTGGTCTTTGTTGAGATTTCTGAGACACGGTCTGTTCATCAGGTCAATTGAGGCCACGGTACTGCGGAGTCTAGGAGCGTTTCTTTCATATGATGGTGGCTTGAAGACCATCAAAGCCCTAGGAATTCTCGTGCATTTAACCACGTTGGTGGTGGTTCCACTTAATGTACCGCATAATAATACACGCATGGCTAACGATGTTGGTTTCCGAATAAGCTGAATCAACGTATGCACATCAGTAATATCTTATAGTTCTGGTGAATCTGCCACAATCAGAGCGAAATAGTGTATGATCCTTTACTTTATAAACATAATCTTGAGGTGAATCAAAATTCACTGACAAGTCAGGCGATCGACAAATCCGCGGGTAGTGAATCTGGAGACACTTCAAGTTTGATTCGTTCTAGTGTGAGAACAGTACGTATGAATAACAAACTTGTGCATTACATATGAGACACAAATTATTCCTCTGTAGGCCTCTGTATAAAGCTATGCCGGGAAATAGCCTAATGCTTGATAATCAGTAGTTGTGACAAAGCAACTGCCAAATGGCATGTATTTTGGTCGCATCTATCACTCGCCGCTTCAAATCACGCTGAATGCATGCAGGACGATTTGGCGAGTAGTTCGGTTAATCAAGTAATGAAAATCCTGAAATGGGGCCCAGTGGTTGAATTGTATCGCCGCTCGTTGTTATGCTCGTGAAAGGTAGGAGCAAGTTAGTTAGTAGCAAACGCCGACTAAACATTTACAAGCTATTTGATATCGTCTCCAACAACCGGGTATTCTCATGTTTCTTTTCTGATATTCATGGATATTCACTGACTGAGAAACCTTACGTTACAATGCGCCATGGGCAGAGGTTGAGGATGAACACATACCAAATCAATAGCGTAAGAAACTATTCTGGTACTGTTGTTGTGTGATGACGTCTTTTGCTAAGGAGTCTTCCGCTCCGCTTCTAATGGAATGTGAATTTCATTACAGAAGTTCGGAAACTGCTTCATTTACTATTGCCTCACAGTCAACGACTATCCAGAAATGTTCAACAAAACTTGTGAGAACGCTCTGTTTTAAAGAATCATTTACTCTTCGTCACAAGGACTCTTGAATTACGCTGAAGCACCGATCTAAATTTCTGAAATGTAGTGAGTGATCAGTTGAGGAGATTTCTCAACTTTTGGGTCAATTCGCCGAAAGCGACATCAGTGGATGGGTCGAGTTCTTCGTATGTCAGTTGATCATCGACGTTGTTATTGGCGTTAAATGTAGGAGATGGCTATCAGACTTGACTGCATCGTTGCAAGTTGTCTGCTATCATTGGGCATGGTTTCTTGCAAAAGCAACAGTTGGATGGGTTCACCAGTTTGATGGTGTTCTTCAACAACGCGTCTTTCTAACTAGATGTTGTGCAAGGTCCGACGGAGACTATGACCATTGTATTAGACAACAGATTCTGAGCGGTTTTCCTACCCTCGTTGGAAGACGGGAGATTGGGTGACAGAACTCGAGAACGTCACTTTAAAGTCTTGAGTGTTCAGCATTTGTTTTGTGCAATGGGTTACCTGAATTAGGGGTACCTTCTGCGTGCTAGTATCAATAAGGGTCTATGATTTTCGGAAAAGTTTGCAGAACGGCGCTTTTAAAATAACGCTGTCCCGTGTCCGCAAGATCCAATTACGCTTTGACCCACTGTCCCGTTTCTTCTTTTTTGTTTCTTTCATTCACTTATTCGCTCATTACGACTTCGTATTTATCCCAGGTTCCCACCTAGCGTGATTTAGATGACTTAATAAAAACCTTCAGTTGTGCTGATGTTAGCCTGTGTTACTCAATGTTTTCAGATCCAAAACGGGAGCAGCCCAACTGTCGAGTTTTTCCATCGACATCCTACAGACTTCCCATCTGTGAAACCGCAATGTCCGTTTTAGGCATTCTTTTGGGAAAGCTGCTACCCATTCCTGAGATGATGGACTTTCCAGTTCACAGGATTACTTCTTCCAGATCGTGTTTATCGAGGGGCTTGAAGAACAATGTGTGTCTAGCGATCTGGACTGTCATGGACTCAAACAAATTCCTGGAAGTACACACGCTTCGGCTATTGCTTCCTTGGCGAACAAAAGTACAAACCGCGAAAACCCTCTGGACTAGTTTACTATATGAAATCTTTCGCACATACCGTATTACCTCGGCTGGCACATCACAGGGAGCTTTCTAGAGAATTTCAGTGGCGTTCAACGCGTTAGGTAGCCGTTTGGCAGAGCAAATCATGTGAGTATGTGCTCACTCCATGCAGACCGAAGCAGCTGATACCTTGTCTGATCATGTGTAGCGCGTACGCGGCTTTTGCATCATGTTGAGCTTCAAAAATCAGACCTATTACAGCGGTTTAGATAAATACGATTTAAACGGTCTACGGAGTTTGCGTTTTGGAACACAACTTTCCGCTACTAGGTTGATCCTTTTAGAAGCTGAACGTTTAGTTCAACCTTTGATAATCGGTGGATTTACTGGCCGCTGTGGTGGGTCAACTCGCTGCCCATCAGTTAAGCTGTTCGTTGAACGTAACAACAGATGGACTGCCGCCGAACCGACAACCAGGTGGCTGCGTGCAGGGTGCTCACCAAAGTTACACGCTGGATGCAAAATTCCAGATAGAAATTAGCTATATTCTCTCAAACAAGAACCTTGGTACTTTGACGTGACGAGCTAATTAGAAGCGGTCGCGCTTCCACGAGCGGTCAAACGGAACCGTACGGAAACCGAATATTTAGAAGCTCGACCCTCGCACTGTCGTTACCAAGCGCGATTGTTTTCCGTCTTGAATGTATTTTCCCTGGTTGTTCAAGCTCTAATCTAATATTGACCCCATAGAGTTTAGTTGTCTCCATATTCGCTAAACGACGATTCTCTTCAATCACACTTTCGGTTGTTTCTGCTTTTCCAACAACAACGTCTCCATGAAATAGATTTCCGTTTGAACAAATTTCACCGAATATCGACTGCAAGGATTGGCGAGAATGTATAGTGAATCGACCGGAAAAGTTGCAGTGTGTAGTTAGGATTGGCTGATTTTTTGTTTGGTTGCGCACAAAATAGTGCTGCATCCACTTCGCTCATAAGTTCCCGCCCACACGTGTTCCACCAACCATCGCGTGTTGTCTATAAACCGTGTACGTGGCTAGAATGGCCAACATTCATATCACTTTGCTTGCGCATAAGTGCCCTTTTCCTCGCAATTGTTATCCGTTCGATTTTCTGAGCATTCTTCCAGGAACCTGAGGCGTTGAAAGTTTTCACTAAAGCGCATGTTGTGAATTTCGCTTGGTATAAGTGCCACCTAAGAACACAGAGCGTTTTACTCAGGTAATTGTTTTGCTTCAAAGAAGGGTTTTCGATAAAGAACGAAAAAAACATTCGGACTACGCACTTGTTTACCTAAACGGAGTGGAAGATTACACTGGCTGGGGTACCTCGTAGTTTAACTATTTAATATTATCATGAAGAAAGAAACCACGGCAGTTTATTCCCATTTGTTGCGATAACGAGTAATGACTCGTCATTTTTGTGTTGCCAGGTGTAGCATTTCATTTCCCGATTATTGCGTGTTCGAAAAAAGTCACAAGAATTGCATTTCTAATTTCCATATATCACTGTTCGCATTATTGACTGTGGTAGACAGACATTGTGTATAGCGGCTTTATCCTTGTGATCTGCACCCAGTTGGAACTACGGTTAAGCGCATGCGGCCTATCGAGATGCAACTTGAAAACTGGCTGTTAAAGATATCATAAATGCGTGTCTCGGTATACTAACGAGATGTTAGATTTGTTTATTTTGGGCGCTACACAGCCCTCATGCGCTTGCTGAAAACGCACACATAGCTGACCGCAGGTTTCGTCAAAGTAAATTCCTTGGCTCAAGGCTTTGTGTGACCTTCGGTGTCACACAATTAAATCAACCAGAAGCCTCATGAAACCATCGATTTACACTGTGAAATGTTACACAGCTTCCCAGAAATATCAAGTTTAGGTACACCTACTGCAATCTCATACATTTTCACTTTGATTTTTAAATACAGAAATCCAAATCAATTTCTCGCTGGAACAAAATCAATAGGATGCCAGCTACTACGCGAAGCCCGTTCGCAGACTCCGTTTGCTGTTCACTACTGTCTGAAGTGCACGGGCGCTTAACGAAATGAGTCATGTTTGTGCTAGAAAACGCCAAAAATTACTCATGTGCACCCAGTGTTGGAAGTAGGTTGCGCAAATGAACAGTCATTGAACATGGTGATCAAAACGGCACATCATATCCTGGTTTGGTTAAACTTTGTACCGCATACCTCTTAGATATTTGGCGGACAGTTTTTTTTCCACTATCGCCACGCATGAGTAATGGAAAGTGTAATTCACACGAGGCGCACAGTATAAATTCCAGGCATATGAAGCTTCAAGTAAACCTGAACATGATGCGTCGTTGTTCGCTTCTATTTGAGTTCTTGTTCTGCATCAATCACCTTGCACGTTTGAACGCCGTCAGTGTCCACAATTGGTCGTCCAAATTTAACAACAATCCGTCAAAGAACTGGGTTGTCCTTGTGGCTGGTACCAATACCTGGAGAAATTATCGACATCAAGTAGGTGTCCGTTGACTTTCACTGTTTTGAGACTAAAGGTTTCATCCAACTCCCGTAAGTGTGGGTTTCCAAGGTGGAAATTTGAACTAAGGTACCCCAGTCAGCTGTGTCCCACCTAGTTTTCTCCTTGGCTGTGACATTTCACTCGAGAAGGCGGTTCATAGAAGCCACGACTAATGGACACATTAATGGACACGCATTGCATATCTTGTGTCGGTGTTCGTCAGTATTTCCATGTCATGCAGAGATATTTTGCTTTGGGTGGTTCGATTCACCGGTCATTACTAACTTCCATACCGTGATTCACGTTTGCAGGAAACCGACATCGTTATGTTAGGTGGAATCACTAACTGTGAGTGGAAGGTTTGTTTCGCATAAACACAAGAGTACACCCACGGCCCCCACGTTGATCAAGCCAAGCCACCACATTTACCCTTTCTTTGTAGCCTCATTGTGTTACCGATGCGCTCTCAGACACCGCGGTACCTCAGACCCAGTTAACTTGATGACCGAACCAGGTGTCAGAAATCTCAAAGAAGTCAACTGTCGTCGCAACGAAATTAGTTGCTACCCCGAACAGATTTATTCTATCGCTAGTCAATGTGAGCAAATAATTGTATACTACTTGGTACGATGAAGGCGTCCGAATTTGATTAGAAATATGGAACGCCACTTTGATTAAATTTGTTCGTTCGTTTCTGACGGATTTGCATGTGAATCGCATGGAAGATGTCACACGTTTCGCATGCTCCTGCACTCAATCCCAATATTCACTTAGTAATATTTTATTGCCGCTATATTTTGCTGCAACCTTATTATTTGTCAAGTGAAGAAACGAATGTTGTTACGACTGGAAGCTGTGTTCCACACAAGACTTTCAGGACTGGAATGCTGCTTCCTGGTCATGACCATGTCTTTAAATTTCTTCGTGGCTTGACTTGATTAAGCTCAGAAAACATTCAGTTCTCAACGGAAGCCACGCGGAAATCATTGAAAATAGCAACAATTGCTTCCGGATCATGCAGATGACAGCGAGCTGAAACACGCAAGTGGTGCAGTTCAGCAACCGTAGTGAGAATTTAAATCCTCATTACGAAGAAACCGATGGCGAACCCAGTGCAAAACCATGCTGTGCAACTTGTTTCAGAGTGCATGCAATAAAGAGTGACAGGCAACCGGAAAAAAATATTTAAAGCGTTTTAAGCTGTGGCAACCCATTTGACCGCAGATGTTGCAGCTGACGACAATGGGAGGCGAACCTTAGTTAGTTATAAGAAGGGATCTATATGGATATCTCTAGCACCAGGATGAGGGAAGTGAAAATACCGAATATATGAAAGAGAATCAAGAAAGGCCACAACAAAAGCCTTTTCCGATTACGTGACCTGTGGTACAGAGCAGACAACGTCATCGGTTTGTTGACACCACTCGAGGCCGGTGCGACATGATATTATTTGTGAGCGTGCAATCCATGCTTGAAACCAGGCTGTGATGCTGCCACGGTAACGAGGAATGTCCTTCATCTTGAAGTCGTTTGTTATCAAACATCAACTTAACAGCCATGAACTATTGGACAGGAAAGTAAGCATCTCACTTGCACATAAGTTTTTAAATCCGAGCATTCTCAAAATTTGTCTTCAGCTTCCATGCGTATTCATTTGATATCATGCTCTTAAAGCGGTTCCACAAGTTTCTTAACAAACTTCACCTTTCATTAAACGCTTGAGCGGAACTTGGAAAAGACAGCAGGGTGTTCGCATGTGTCATCAGTAGTATGCGCCTGTACACCGGGACACCCGGACATAGAAGGGAGGCCATTTAGTGTCCGCGATTAAGTCATTTATTCCGAAAGCCCATTTACACTTGTACATTCTCAAAATGGTGGTACATGGTGCAGGCATTCAGAGGAACTTAAATTCTTAAACCGAATTCATATGGATTACGTCAAACCCCAACCTGGAGGACTTCTACCCATAAACCAACCTGGTATGGGAGGGTCTGTGAGTGGCCGATATACACTGCTCAGTGGGTGATTTAGACGCACAAACCGTCAGGCCTCTGTGAGGTCCAATCTCTGTCTCTGACAGCCCCGGTTACAGTAGATTTTTAGTTCGAGTGACAATACTGGCAACGAGCAAACAGAAACAATTTACGAGGTTCTTTCAGGATTTGATTTCACTTAGAATGGATTTGCATGAAATATATTCCAAGTGCAAGGGTGTTATCCGTGGTACCGAGGTGATCGTAGTTGGTGAAGATATGACGAACCTTGTTCACCTGGTTGCCTAGCTGTCAAGGGCGGACACATTCGAGAAGGCCCTCCAAGAATACACACTCATACAGCGTATGAAATGATTGGGACTGCGAACATTTGCCTGTTTTCTTCTTTTCAGCCCCGAGACGGACAGATTTTGGTTCTTAAACTGACTGACAAAAACCCATAAACACAATCTGAACAAGCATTTTCATACAACTTGATTGGCGCGCGTTTGGAATCAACATATAGAACGCCACTCTGATTAAAATGGTTCGTCCACTGGAGCATCATTTATTTGAGGGGGTTGAGGATCGTATTGAAAATTTTGCACATAATTTGTTCGTCTGTATCATTTCTTAAGATTCAGTAGGTAATATTTTATTGCCACTGAGTTTCACCCCAATGTGATTATTTATCTAGTGCACAAGCGATCTAGAGATTCGGACGTATTTTCAAAGTCCAGGGATACTCCGGTGCACAGGTTCTGACACTTGGCCGAATGTGGAACTGTGATCAACAAAAGTCCTTCCGAACTAGAATCATGCTCCCTGTTCTTGGAATAATGCATCTCAATACTTTTGGGAAAACTGATACCCCATCAAGTAGGGTTATCCTACACACCCTGCTTGCTCTCTTTGACCTCCATGCATCACTCTGCCAGTTTTCTTAATGCGCGTCTCATTTGTGTTCTCATTCAGGCTGACGTTTTCCACGCGTATCAAATCGTGCGTAAAAACAACGTTCCAGCGGAGAATATAATTACCTTCGCCTATGACGATATTGCAAACAAGCCCAGGTAAATATCACGTACAAATTCTCCCATCAGATGACAACTACAATGTTCAAAACGCGTTTCGTTGTTTGACTTTGAAACGTCTCATTGTTGAGCCATACGTCTCGAAGATGTAAATCATGAATAAAATTTTGGGTGCACTGATTATGAATTTGCGTGATTGACGTGAGATGTGTTATCAATTTTCTCTTCGTTCATGGCTTATCATGACTGGAAACGCCGCAGAACCCCGATAAAATCAGCACAGTCGAAGGTTTGGAGCGGATATTAAACAGATAATCTAGTACGCTTAATATTTTGTACCACAGTCGATTGCCTGTATAAGTGGAGGAAACTTTCTGAAGACAGAATGTTTGATCTCGCCTGCGGGTGCTAAATAATCGTATGTGGTTCATTGCCCGATCGAATTTCACTTAAGGGCACTGGATGAGGAGATGCTCCCAAACTCTACCACTGGTGGTGTTTCAACGTAAATTTACCTAAGAAAATTACCCTTTCACATCACATTTGTAATTTTGTTTGTTGTGCCACCTATTGGGAACATCGTAGGGTACCTAACTTATTTTTGCCTAAAGGATTATTAGTTAATCGTCGAATGTGTGACAGAAGGTTCACAAATTGTCGTGAAAATTTATTCCAAGACAAGCCCGGGAAACAACTTCCAACATAATTTATTAGACTTCGTTTTTTCTTTCCGATCTACCTGTAAATTTCTCCCATAAAACCCACTGCCACTTTACATTCTTTCATTCCAGAAATCCGTTTAAAGGCAAAGTGTTCCATGACTACTTGTACGAAGATATCTACCAGGGTGTGGAAATTGACTATCGTGGAAAAGTATGTGCGAGTACCGGTGCAAATGATTTTCTGCATCAGGTTACCGTGGAACACAAGGAGCAAGTAAAACGACACTCCGTATCAAAACAGAATACAAACCGTAGGACAGACTAATCAGTTTTACTATATTGCATCATGGTAAATATACTTGAAAGAACACTAGTTATGAGGTCTTGGAGAACCCTCAGGCAGCCCATGTTCGAGTTCCACCTTCTGATTTTGGCCTATCAATTAGGCGAGCGTTCTTGTCATAAAACCATCAAACGTGCACGGCGACCATCAGTGCACGAATAGTGTTCTCCGGGGAAAATCATGTGATATCTCGGATGCTGCACCAACCAAACCAAGCAGCGGGTCCAAGAGCAAATTCAGCTAGAGGATATCGTAAATCAGACCATCCACTCTGATTCAGTTGAGTGCTGATGAGTGGTACGCACTTCAAGATAGCGGGTAATTGTATTCCTCAGCTACTGAGGTAATGCTTCCAGGTGGTCCATGTTCAAATGAACTGCTAACACTGGGTTTGGCAAACAGCCCAACAATTGCATACTTCGGTTTTCATCATACAGCGATAATCGTGGAATTAATGAGTGAAGATAGTGAGCAGATCGTAGATTTCAATTATCTATTGGGCTGAAAGTGGATGGGTGCTGGGAATAGAATCAGTGTGGAGAATGTTACTGTCACGGGAATAATTGGTCATGCGTGTTCATCTGTTTTAGGATGTCACACGGGATAACTTCGTGAAAGTATTAAAAGGCGATGAGAAACTTGCAGCCAATAAGAAGAAGGTGCTTAAAAGGTGAGTTTTCGTGAAAGCGGATATTGTCGATGCACTTGCAGATCACAACTGGAATTCTAGTGTTCCAAGTCAGACTTTTGACGAAATGCGCGTTTAGTATTATCGTAAGTAACTTGCTACATTGTCTGTTTAAGTGAAGCTCCTCGAATTGACTCAAATAGATTTGCCTCACTTTAAGGAAAGCTCGGTTTTTACAATGTCAGACTATGCGTTATTATTATATAATGGGCATAGGTCAGGTATACACTGCTTCGATTTACAATTGCGGCGCAATCCGTAATGACCCACGCTTTGTCCGCGTTTTTTGAGTAACCGATGCTTCCATTGGGAGGCCCTGGGATGGATGATTACATATATATTCTCAGCTCCCGCACGCCCATTTGAGTTGAAACTTTTTAACAACACTGATTAATAAACCTTCTTCAAAAGCTTCATGCTGGTTTGTTGTCTGCTGTCATTCTGCTTCCCACTTCCGTAAACTTTGTGCCTTGTTTTCGTTTTGGTCACCATTCCAGAGCAACGGTCTGGTACCTGTTCATATAGGCCTTACTCTGAGGTTTCGCCAGTTCTGAAAATAGCTTGAAGTGGGGAGTTCCCGCATTCACCCTCTGTTTGAAATACACACATTTCTGAATTCATCCGCAAAGCATTATTTGGTCAGTAGCACTATATTGACTGTCGCCTAGAGTATGAAATGTTTCGAAATAAAAATCGTCCAGCCCGCCGGGTGCCCTCTTGATCAAAGACAAGCAATCAGAACCTATCCAGATCAGTTTCATATGAAAATATATGGCCTCTTGGATATCCCGTTTCAGAATGTAGGTTCGGCTCTCGTGTTAATATTTTCATGCACAGATACAATCATGCTAGTTGGAGTATGATTTCGAAAGGGCTGAGCGTTACCGTTTCAATGGCACGACGATAAAACTAACTGAAGTATAAAACTGCCTCCAATCACTTTCATGCATTCAAAACCATAGGACCTACTATAACACGTGATGCAACAATAAAACAACGGACGTCCAAAAATCAATTTTTCACTCCCACATTCAAGCGGCCTCCCAAAAAGCAGAGCAGTCAAAGTAAATTTGACTACCGATTATATCCAGTAGCGTGGGCAAATCAGTATGCAGACCGGTGTGTTCGCTATCATTTTAATTCTGCCGTTTTTTTGTTGTGCTTTGGTTGCGCCACCCAACAATCTCCTCTTCAAGACCAACTTAACTTTTCTGCCTACTTGCAGCGGTCCTGATGACAACGTGTTCATCTTCTATTCTGGGCATGGTGGAGTTTCCTTTCTTACCTTGTTGGCAGATGAAGTAAGTTTAGTAAATTTTGGTATTCACTATATTTTTCCAATAGGAATCTAAATGAAGGACGGATTGGAGAGGCTTTGATAAACATATGCTGGCATAATCGATTATTCTTTATAAAAGAGAGTGTATATTTAAAATTGGCCTACATATCAACCGGGAAATGGAAAAAGAAGCTACGAGGTTCGGATGTCTATCTCAAAGGTGATATCCCCAGCAATTCAAATTTAGTAGGCCTCGTCTAGCTGCTTTAAATGGTAGCGTCAATATTTCGTTTCACTATGATTAGGTTGCTCAAATCACGTGATTTCGGGGTTGATCCATCTAGACTTCTGAGCAAACGTAGTTATCATAAACCAAGAAGCTGGTCGTATACGATCACTCACGACGAACTTGTCAGCTAAAGTCTTCTTGACAAAACGACGTACTCCATTTTACCTTTAGAGAAACTGTGCGAACCATTGGTAGTAAAAAAAGTTTTCGTAGTTCTTCATGGGAAAGAAATCTGTGTGGAAAACACGGGAAGGAATGTACAGCGGTTCCATCCTCAATGGGATCCATCAGTGGTGCGTTTAGTGATTGCAATATTAAACGGTTCGGCCACGGGAAGACAAAGGACAGCCTGATTTGTCCGCAATTGATCAGGACACAGCGTCACCCATTCTTCAATCAAGGGATCAGCACCATTGATGACTGACTGCTCGAGTGGCAACTTCTCAAATGAAGATAATTTATCTGTCTTTTGAATTGGTGCTGTACATGGATGCTTGCTACTCTGGCTCTTTGTTTCAAAATATTCTTCCGCGAAAAGTGGGAAGTAAGTAGACAAAATTTTTGGCTGGCTGGCTTGCAGATCCTGAGTAATGGCGCTCAGAATGTCCTTCATATATGGTTAAAATACTGCACTTACCAATACAACAAATCGAATTTCCACACATGTTTCCTCCTCGTTTTCCTCGCAAGTAAGCAATTTCGGCCTCTACTGAACAAGCGTTTAACCGGGGGTTGCACAAAATTCAGCTTTAAATGATTGTCATCGCTTCTCCTGATGAATTAGTTGCATATGGGTTGAGGAAATCGTTGTGTAACCCGCACAACACCTGTGATATTTTGGTTTCCCTGTCCGGGATGAACAGATAAAAATTATACACACGGTCATTCTGTGTTGCTTTGCTACAATCAACTAACTGTAACGAGCCCGCTTCTAGTTGTTCTAAAGGCGAACGCATTTGTTTCCGATTAGGCGCCACCGAGCTGCTCTGATGTTTGGGTTGGCGTAAGCGTGGTGCAAAAATTCAATCCCATCCCATGAGCAGAAATTGCATTCTTTACATAACTCCCCAGAAGCGCTGCTTAACCGTCTTAGAACTTTGTTAAGAACCATCATCATTGAGCATTTCTTGAATCTCTAGGGTGAGTTAAACCTGAAAATGTGATGTTATTTTCACCCTGTCGATCAACCATGGACAGCTGTTTATCAGCACCATACGGCGTTCAACGCCACAAACCCTGTGGTCACCTATTAAAATCATCTTGTGCGCGCTGGCTGGCTCGTTGTTTGGCGGAGATTTACTTTGAATTCTCATGAGATTTCTAAATATCAATGTTTTCTGAGCTAATTCTTATGAGCTTAAAGGGGGTAGTGCTATAAATTCCCATGCAAAGAGCCCTAGAGCTTGTCACAAAATCTGGATGCTTTAATATCCTTTAAATGAGGTCAAAAGGATTCAAAGGACTTGAATTCCTATTTCAAATACGAGCACATGCTGAAGGCATATAGGATGCTCTTGTCTAAATATCCTAGTCGGAAAAACACTGCCAGATGTTTGCATTGTTAAACGGTGCTTTGACGTTTCCTGAAATTGGTTAAAATGCTGCACTTGCCAATACAACAAAACAAATTTCCAAGCTCGGTTAATCCTTTTCTTGTTTGCGATCCTTGTGAAGAAGTAATTTTCTGGTTGTAGTCAACAACCATTTAGCCGATAATTGCACAACATTCAGCCTTGAATGATTGTTATCGCTTCTGCTGATGAAATAGTTGCATATCGATGGGGAAAATCATTGCGTAACCCGCATAACACCTGTGATATTTTTGTGTCGCTGTCCAGCAATCACCATTGCAGGTGGATACCATCTTTGTGGATTGTGAATGGATCGTGGCTATTTTATAAAATTTACACTTCAACCCTTCAAACGACAGGTTAGACTCTTACATGGGATCAAAAATACAGATTATACGTTCACATACTGACTGTTTTTACGAGCCGATCAAACCGAACCCAGGGAACTGTCTCGTTCATGAGAGTGTTCGGCCAGTCCATTCGGTCTGAGTTCAAGTTAGAATCAGGTTATATGGAAAGTCGAGGTCTTCGCTTACCTGATTCGCCGGAGGAGGCGTGAAAGCCATGAAATCTGACAACGAGTTGTTATAGACCGTCTGAGAATTGGGTCAGTTCAGATTTCATGTAGATTCATAATTTCTTCGAATCACAGGATCAGTTTACCAATAATTTGCTTCACTATTTTACGCATATTTGATGGTGACCTATACGATCCTTTGTCTGCAGTCTACGTGACAACATCAGCCAAGGAAACTGAACAATCCTGGTCTATTTTTTGTGACGACACGGATATCGATGTTTGTCTAGCGAGCGAATACGCGTACGCCTGGATCGGAGATTCGGAATACGTAAGTATTAGCAAAAAACCGTTGCAGATAAGCCCATCGTTTGTGGAAGGATAATCCGGTGGTGGTCAGGAGCCAGTGGTAGACCACTTGGTAATAAAAGCCACTCATTCGTTCAGTTCTAATGTTTTAGCTATAATCTCTTATTAAATATAAATATTTGGATGAGGGTGGGGCCAGTTATCTTCTGGAGTCTGCAAATACTATTGACGTTTGTGAAAACTCAGGCTGATGTTTTGGATTGTCTTCTGGAACTCGTTTGTTATGCGCCGAGCAGATGTGTGATTTTAATCTCATCCCCCAATTGTCTAGCACGTTGATGCTTACGCCTATCCAGCTATCATTCTGGTAAGGAAAATTTCGCAGGTTGTCGTTTACTCGGCAACATAGACTTCAACTGCTCCGCCAAATTGAACTTGTCCACTCATCCCAAAATTCAACCTCCGAATACAAATCGAACATATGGTGCCACAAAATTCGATGTGTCAGCTCCGATTTAGTATAAATTGAATCGAGCTTGGCAAAGGTTTTCATTTGGCCTGCAACCTACTCAGCAGTAATTTCCTTCAATTGTGCGGCGCCCTTTGTGAGGCAGGTTATAAATGTTTTATAGACATTTCAGCTCGCAAATGACTACTGACCACTTCCACAAACATCGCCAACGGCGCCATCACCAATTTGGGCATGAAAAAGATTTAGTTGAATTCAGCAATCATGACCGCCCGGTGACCCCAAAATAAGGAAAGCATTAGTTTGATATCTAAGCTTTCTCACTATTCTCACGATCACGCAAACCACTGATTTTGCGGAGGTATGAAGAGGTATGCATGGGGGTGTGAAAGTGTCTATCAAAATCTGGGTGCCAACGGTGTACCTCGGAGACTGCATGAGTGCCACCGTGTTTGGGTATTTTTTCAGAAATTGTGTACTTGAATAAATGTTAGTAGACTTCTTGTTGTCATTTTTAATTCAGGTCGCCTGAGTGAGTGTCTAGGGCTGCCGGGGCATCGGAATCATTGTGGTAGTCCGGCACCAAGATTTTCCTCACCCATTTTAATTCTTGTCTTTGGAATCGGACTATAAATGGATTTCGAATGCGCGCAGGGAATCGCCAGTGTTGAATGCGGATACTGATAAAGATGGCGTGGGTGATCATATTGATGATGATGGTAACAATGGATCTCATGAACGCCATGGTCTCAATAAATCTGTCAAAATAAACCACGAAACGAAGTTGGTCGGATAGACATTCACTCGGGATTTAGGTCATCGTTAATCGATTTCTCACATATCTCGATTCATCACAAATGAATGACATTTATTGGCCACCCTAGCAGACGATACTTTGTTCAAAATATGCATCCGGCATTGCAAAACAAGTTGGCTGAGCTATGCAGTACGTATGTTTAGTTACTAACTGCCGAGAAGGGTGCTGTATTCCATGCCCAGTCCGGAGTGTCATAAACCTAGAGATGAACAGAACTTGACATGACAATAGGGAGCTAAAGATTCTATGAAAAGTTTGAATACTATTGGTGTTTTTCGGCTGTCCGAATGGGGTCAACTTGACACTCCCAGTGCTTGGCTAGAGACACCGAATGATATGGCAACCCAGAGTTTTCATCGACGTCCATGCTGTTTGATGCTGTTTCCATTCCTGTTCCATTACCCTACCTTTTCCTGCTACACATGAATTAGAATGCGTGTACGGCAAGAACACCAAACCGCTTGGCGGAAGCTTCAACGTGCAATTCAGGTTTGCATTTTGTTTTTCTTATTCCACTGATTCCCAACCAAAAACTGAAAGCGCGACAAATGTGGACTTTATTTAAGACACGAGTTATGTAGTAGAGTATTGGTGTTGCAAATACATGGGAGCAAATAAATCGTAATCAGCCCTGCATTTTAGCGGTCTTTTCATGATGCTACCCAAAACTCAAACGTGGTTCTTTTTGGTGGGCTAGATGACTTCCATAGTCTACCTTTAATCCCCCATAACCATTCTTAACGCATCTTTCAGTTTGGTCACATCGTCATGGAAACGTTTCGCGACTTCGTCAGGGACGTGATGACCCACCGTAAGCCAACTCTTAAGGGCTTGTCTAAAGGGATGAGCTCATGTGTTTTCAGGCAGTATTCGATCAATTCCGGACGCACTGCTTCACAATTGAGCAGATAAGTTGACCTCCTGAGGTACGAACACAAGCACTTGCATACATTACCAGCAAATGCATTCATCCCTGGCGTTACATAAGTCGAGCCCAAAACTACGTCTAGATAAATCGCTAGCAGACGACCTCTACGGCAGGAACTTTCGGGCAAATGAGGTAGTCACATCACTAACATCTTCTTTCTGTTCTTGAAATCGGACCTTAATCTCGCAACATCATGTTCATTAGTTGAACAGTTTGTGGGCTACTTTCAGAGCCAGGTAATATCTAAATTCTTTATCACAAAGGCGACCCATGGAACGTGGAAAACTATTTGGGCAGTTCGGAATTTAAAACAACCTGAGATGTTATGAAATAGGACCTCGTATTATTTGGAATTTGCATACGGATATACCAAGATTGACAGCAGCATGAGTGAGCTACCCGAGTTCATTTCTTTACATTCCAACTGAATTCAATTCATAAAGCGAACTACTCAAAAGCTTGCTGAAAATCCTTCGATGGCCCAAGACCGGTTTCGCCCATCTTAAGCTCATCAAGTAGGCGCAGTTCCCGAGTTTTTATCAACCCTATGTTCTACTTGACTTCAGTTCAGCTCAGATCTGTTCAGTTCAGTTCAGACCAGTTCATTTCAGTTCAGCTCAGCTCGGTTCAGTTCATTTCATTTCATTTCAGTTCAGTGCAGTTCTGGTCAGTTCAGTTCACTTCAGTTCATTTCATTTCAGCTCAGTGCAGTTCAGTTATGTTCATTTCAGTTCAGTTCAGTTCACTTCATTTCAGTTCAGTTTTAGTTCAGTTCATTTCAGTTCAGTTCAGTTTAGTTTAGTTTAGCTTAGTTTAGTTTATTTTAGTTTAGTTAGTTTAGTTTAGTTTAGTTTGTTTCAGTTGCGTTCAGTTCAGATCTTTTCAGCTCAGCTCAGTCCAGTTCGGTTCGGTTCCGTTCAGTTCAGTTCATTTCCCTTTAGCTAAGCTGATTTAAGTTCAGTTTTCCAGCTCGTCTGCCAAGTCACTTTGGCGTTCCTGGAAAGGTTTAACCCCTTGAATGGAAGTGACACGGGTCAGTCTTGATGAGGAGGTTCCTTATTCAAGAATGATCTGTGAGTTCAAAACTGCTAGGGAATATAATGAAGTATGATTTGACTAACAATTGTTGTTCAAAACGCAGAATTTTGAAGAACATTCACCGATCAAATTGGCGCTAATATAACCGAATGCTAGAACCATCGGTGCGGTAAAACAGTAGAAGGGCAAGGCTAGTATAATACCCATAACTAAATCCCGCACTTTTAATCAACAACACCGGCCATTGTTACAGAAACCCGTTCGATTCTACCAGTAAGTAGTTTGCTTGAAAGGTCACGGATGCCCGCTGCTGGCGATGTTGTACTCACTAAGGTCCGACCCTCTGGACTGTAGGGTCTCTGCTCTTTTACACGTTTTCGTAGATGCGTAATTCTGCGAGTAATTTCAGTGTTTAAGTTTGATCAAGAACAAACACGCAGCAACACACTTTATTAACGCAACATCTGTCCAAGAGGCATATCAATGCATCGCAGCATTGTTTGTTCTCTTCGCTTTTGAAGTTTTTGCTATGTGGTGTAACATTTGCCTTTTTCAAACTACCGAAGGTATAATAAAAGAATTTGCTTTTGGTCAGTTGCTATCTGTTCTCCATATCCGGAGCAATCGATCGCATAAATCGCTGGACTAATCACCGCTGAATCACGTGTTGTCCTCGTACACAGCTTATTCCCACTTGATTTTTCACCGGAGATTCCTTGAATCTCCAAATATGCCTGACTTACGAATACACTTCAGTGACATATTTCCTGACCACTATGTTCACACAACTGTAAATGGGAACTTCAGAGAAACTGGGGTAGTACTTCCTTGGTGTGGGCGTAAGTGGAACCAAAAAACCCATTCTGTACACAGCATGCCCGGCAAAAAACACAGGCGTTCTACTCGTTCGTCTATTTAATACGATTTGATGTAATAGAGGTGGATGGTTGACCAAAAAGAACATAAACAGTTTCCTGTACTAATTACCAACTTGTATAACTTCAGCGGACTATCAACAAACCAAATCCGTAAAATTTGTTCTCAAGTAGAACACGATTTTTACACAAACTCTGGAACGGCGAATGCCTGAGGAGTACTAAGCAGGGCAAAACCGTATACAGCTTTACTACGTATTTTGTTTCCTAGAGTTCACAGATTTTCGCTCATCTGCTACTTAAATGAAACACTTTGCGTGGTCTAATCTAGCATCATGGGAGTTTATATAAAAGCGCTACGAAATGTCTAGAATTCAGATATGCTGATGCTCACCAACTAATCACAACCGATTACCGACGCATCATCCTCTTGACATTCGGTGTGCCCCACCGACTATCTTCCCAAGTGTTTAGCATAATGACCATTTTCTCTAAAATGCTGAATTATGTTGTTGGACGTTAGGATCAATCGTGGGTGAGCGCACATTCCTGGTCGTTTGGAAGCATTCTTAGTGATAATTACAAACCTGTACTGGACATGTGGGATCCTCAGTCATTGTTATACGTTGCGAAACTTCGGTTTTCCTAGCTGAGATCTTGTTATCTCCCTTCAGGTCCCCGAGGTAGCCCAGCACACAACTAATTTACCAGCGCTATGCAAAGTAGGATACATGACTGAAACCCTCATTGACTCTGTAAACAACGTCTGTTCCTAACGGACACACGTCGCGTTTTGTGAGTTTGCCAAATTAAAATGAATTGCTGGTGGTTACCATCGTGTTTGGCCGTCGTCCATCAAGCTAGGCATTCGAAAATCGTTCGGTTAAGAAACCGCACCTGAGAAACCTTGCGGATTCTCAGACTTTGTGAA